GATTAATTACCTAAACTTCCCTTGAGATTTCTCTCCGTCACTTACCTTGTACATTTGGATATTACTATTAATATTTTTTATTACCTGGTGAAATATTCTAAAACATTAGTTCAAAAAACAACCACATGGACGTTTTTCAAACCGAAAAAAAAAAAAAACACATGGAAAAACATGTATCGTAAGTTCGTAACATAGAGGTGTTTGAAATTTGTCAAGGAACTTTTTGTTTACTTGTTATAGTTAACTTAAAACAATTACTATGAGAATTTAAATGTATGAGAATTGGAATTTTCTAATTTCTGGTTAGAGCAAATATAGATCGGTTTTGTTTAATTTTTGTAGGGCTAATGGCAATATCCTATCAATCTTATTTAAAAACTTTTTTTCGGTAATCTTCTTCGACGTGTCACTAAAATATTGGTAAGGTATTTTCGACCCGAGAAATACTTTGGTAAGGTATTTTCGACCTTCCAGAGAATTGTTACTCACTCCTATATTTAAGGGATTAGAGTGGACTTCACATTTTTAGAATATTGATGTAGGAAAATAATGTTACTGAGAAGGACAAAAAAAAATTCTATAATTAGCTTTAAAAATTTTGACACTTTATAAACTAGTTTCCGAAATACTGCAACTATATATATGGTAACAATACGTATTCCTCTATAGGAGTCGATACCCTAGTGGACAATTTATAGTGACTTGTCTATGTGCATTAATTACTTCCACCTTTAAATCCCTTGCTTGGTATTCGATAAATCATCTTATGCTATGCCCCCACCTTTAAATAAAAACAATATTGCTTTAAAATACGGCTAAGAATTGCAAAGTAGACCACAAAATCATATGGTATTGTCGAGCGGATGGAAAGGAGAAAAAAACAAAAGGTATTTTTTTTTCAAAAAATAAAGAAATAGTCGTGTGTCAATCATTATCAATTTATCTCATTAGTTAATTAACTTTCATCCGGCCCTTCCCCTCTTTTGTATTTATCTATTCTATTTGTTTATACGTCCGAGAGTAGTTGAAAACATTTATTAGGAAAGAAGAAAGCACTTCAAGCGCCACGTATCAGTTCCGTTTAATTATTATTTTATGAACATGAGGAGGCAGTGGTCATTAGGAAAAGAGATGAAGTCAAATATAATAATAAATAATGAATTAAAAACACTATAAGTAAACTGAAACTCGATCCAATTTATTTATTTAAAAAAATCTTTTTAGGTTACAGTGATAATGACCGGAAGTAGCTGGTAATATGAGGTCCATTAAGTGATCAGTGGAAACACAAAATCATGTTTTAACTCTTTTTTACGTGGCTAAATTATATAGTAGGCACGTGCATTTCGTGGTCTGGCACGTGAGATTGCTGGTAGTTGACGTCCCTTGAACAAGATTCTTCCAAGTTCAAAGATCCGCGTACTAGTTCGTGTATACTAACTACTTTCATACAGCATACAGGGCCAGTTGCAGTGGTATGGTACCCGCTCGGTTGGTAAAATTATTATATAATTATATATAAAAAAAATTAAACTAGGTTAAATATATGATTCTTCCACCCTCATTTGCAAACTTAATAAATGTGCCATGACTGGTAAATCTTTTTGAAAATTTTTCTCGTGTGTAAAATTCAAATTGGAATTTATCTTGAACCTTGTCTGACTTTCCTTTTCATTGTGCTTTCTTTTTCTTTTCTCCCACTCATTTTCCATTTTGGCTACCTTTCAATTTCTTATTTGTCGTTTATTATTTTTTATTTTTTCCCCTTTATTCTATTACTTTATCTATGATATTTAGCAAGGACATTCATATAAGAGCCTCCAAAATTTAGAAATTTCATAATATAAGCATTTCTCTTAATCTCAAATCTTTTAGTTTCTTCTTTCAATATAAAAAACTAGGATCTTGATTTAGATTGAGATCAAAATTAATTTATAATTTTTTTTATTATAACATAAAAATTTGTGTTATTCTATGATTGGTCAATACAATTTAAATCTCTTTAGTAATAAATTATGATGAATATTTCGCAAGCATTAGATTTATGATTTTAAGTTTTTAGATCTTGTAGTTTATCTAATTCCGCATTTATTTATGGGGTATAATTTATCTATTGAATATGTTTTTTTTCTTACTCTGATCGAAGGAGTTCCCTTATTAAAGATTTTATTTTACTTGTACAAATTTATTTTTAGCCTACAAAAAAAATGTAGTTCCCTAGTGAAAAATATTAATTTTACTTGAATTATTAATGATAAAAGTGTGATTCCTTCGTTAAAATGTTAATTATATTTGCTTCTTAATATCTGAGATGTAATTTTCATACGACTATAATAATATATATACCCAATGAATCTCATAAGTAGGGTCTGAAAAGTTGATGTAATTTTTATATTTTCAAATAAAGTACTTATTAAATTGCCCAAATAAACTAAAAGATCAACCGGACAATCGTTCCGACAAACTGTATATTAGTAGTTATTATAAGGTGTACATTAAAGAAAATTTTGACACCCTCCACCTTTAAATTTTAGATCTGCCTCTGTACATGGCAGTTTGAACTGTTTATAACGAGTGAAAATGAGAAAAGATACCTCTTCTATCATTAAGGGGGTAAACTTTAGGGTACTAGTAGTATTAGTGAGTAAACAGGTACCTATATCTAAGTTTGTACTAAATAACATCGATTTCCTATAGATTAGACGCTACTAGAGATCAAGAAAAACCGACTAATTTTGGTCTGTCAAAAAATCGGCAAAAAATCGATTAAAGTTGGTTGGTTTTTTAAAATTTTTTAATTTTTAATTTTTTTTCCCGAAACCGACCAACTTTGGTCGGTTTTCTTTGGCGTAAAAAAGTGGGAAACTATTTTTGAGTCCCGCGAAATTTATTTTTCAAGAAACCGATCAACTTTGGTCGGTTTTCTTTGGCGTAAAAAAGTGGGAAACTATTTTTGAGTCCCGCGAAATTTATTTTTCAAGAAACCGATCAACTTTGGTCGGTTTTTGCAATTAAAATAAATAAAAGTTAATATTAAAAAATCCAATCAACTTTGGTCGGTAAATTTGGCCGGTCATTTTAAAAAACCGACCAACTTAGGTCGGTAATTTTATTTTTTAATAAAACCGACCAACTTTGGTCGGTTATTTTGTTACGAAAATATAATTAAAGAGTATAAATAAAAAATAAGACAATCTTAAAACAAAATGCACCAATGGTTTAGTGGTAGAATAGTATCCTGCCACATTACATACCCCGGTTCGATTCCTAGATGGTGAATCTTTTGGTTACATAATTAAAATACATACCAACTTTGGTCCATTTTTTTTTGCGACCAACCTTGGTTCTTTTACCTTTGCGATCAATCTTGGTCGGTATACTAAAACGATCACCAAAATAGCGATCAAGCGTGTTTGGATGCGTTTTGGTCGGTAATTTGTCAAAATCGACTAATGTTGATCAGTTTTTGTGGTCACTAATTACCGAATTTTTAATAATGAGATCTTTTTTTTAAAAAGGTAGAATTTATTATATACCATTAAACATCAAGTACGGAAGCGTTACAAATGATACTACTGTCACGGTGGGCATTACCTATACCACGTAGGGCATTTTTATTGCTTAAAGCAGCTAACCTAGTAGATAAAGTATTCGAGATATATTTTACGGAAGGAAAACCCTCTAGATCCTTATTGTAGGCATTCACCACAAGTTCTCGAGGTGTTATATAGATACATAATTTATTAGAGTTGGACCGCTTGAGAGTTTTCTTAGCCAAAAGATGTGCCACAGTGTTTGTTCGCCTATAGATTAGATCTGGTTATGGCAAACTTATCTGAAAAAGGGGATGATTAAAAATATAATCAATGGTGCTCGGCCATGATTGATTCTTGATTGGAAATAAAGAATTTAATCATGAAATAAAGAGTGAAACTTGATCCCTCCTTCTAGTTGGATTGAGGCAATTAATGATGGTTACTGAGTTGTAAAATAGCAAGAAAACGTCATCATTTCATTTAAATTTTATGGTGTCATTTCAGAACATGATTTATCCATGTTTTAGCAATTTAGCATCCTCACAACCTTCTTTTTTTTTAAAAAAAAAGGCATCTAGCGGCTGACAACAAATCATATGCTTATACCACACGTAATCATTCACTTGCTCTTCAAGGCTACATCATGCATCAACCTCCATATTCCATTATCTTACCTTCTCCTCAATTAAGAAATGGTTTTGCCAGTCAAATACCTTAATAGGATACAACCATGCATGTCATAGGGAATGATTTAATTGATAAATTATCCTTTTGTCAAAACTTCTATCTATTTTGCGCACAAATTTAACTAGAGTTGCAGCCAAAAAGACTTGGCATATGTGTGCATGCAAGTGAAAGCACAATTACTAGCCCCTCAAGAGATGCAACTATTTTTCTTTTCTTACTTTAGATAATTTTGGAGTCTGAATTAAGATAGATAAAATTGTTTTAGGTCATTAAGTGGTGTTTGCTTAAAAATTAATTTGACCAAGAGGTTTTGCAAACCAAAAAAAAGCATTCTTTGCGAAAGGTATTTTCTTCCAACCTAAAAAACGAGAAAGAAAAGTTTTTTCTTTGTTCTTGTAAAAACTAAATAAAAAACGGTTTGCACACGATTAGAAAAGAATTCCAGAAACTCCTCTTTGAATGAAGTATTAGAGGGCAAAAGTGTAACTAAACCTAGACGTCTTACGTGCTTTGGTCATTAACTAAGATAATAATTATCAACAATTTTGGTAGGAACACTTTGATAAGTACAACAACATTTTCCAAATGAAATAATAGCAGAGACTAGAAAACGTGTGAAACAATCAACGTTGAAGTATTTTCGTAATATAAGCAACTAAGAAGGGCAATTTGGTGAACAGGGTCTATTATATATACACACACAAATTGCTTAATCCTCGTGGCTGAGCACCTTCCACAAAAGCCTCTGCTTTCCAAGTTTCCTTCAGCCAACCATTAATGGACCTCGAGGCTGTTCTTAGCCTCTTCGATTCATGCTGGTTCAATCTCCAAATCCTCAATAAACATTCAAATCCTACCCCTACATTAAATTCACCTGAAAACCCAGATCGCAAAATTCAAGAAGATTCACCAGAAATTGCAAAAGATCCATCCCTGTTAGAAAAAATCCAACTTGGGTCACAAAGTGATGGTTTGAGCTACAATTCAGACTCTTTCTCTCCTGATTCAGTTCTCCCAATAACCCATTTTCAACCAGATCCTATAAAAGCAGAACCAAAAAAGATAAAGGGTAAACGAAAAGAAAGGAAAAGAAGAACAAGAAGAACCAAAAAGGGTCTTAGTAAGAGCTTATCCGAGCTAGAATATGAGGAGCTAAAAGGGTTTATGGATCTTGGATTTGAATTCTCAGAGGAGGATGTAAATTCCAGTTTGGTTGAGGTTATACCAGGGTTACAGAAACTGGGCAAAAACAGGAGTAGTGATGATCAAGAAAAAGTGAATTTTCTTGAGAAGTCTGATCTGCACTCAAGAGCAATCAGGCCTTATCTTTCTGAAGCATGGGAAGTTTTTGAAAGGAAGAAGAAAATGAATTCATTGATGAACTGGAGAATACCTGCAACCAGCAATGAAATTGACGTTAAACATAGTCTCAAATGGTGGGCACATACTGTTGCTTCCTCTGTTAAACAACAAAACAAAGGCTAAAACTAAAATCTAAATTGAAATTTTCACTCCTCGTTTTTTCTTTCTTTTTCCCACTACAAAATTTCAAAAAGAAAGCAAAGTTATCGTTTTGATCCATTTTTTAGCTTCTTGACTCGCATTGTTGAGCTTGAAGTTGCAATCCAAATAGGATCTTAGGAGCAAATCTAATCCTGTTCTTCAAAAGAAAATTAAATTGTATTTTGGTAGTGGTTTTTGGAATTTGCATTGAACTAGTCGACGCAAGTCGTAATGTGGATTGAAATGAAGGTAGATATCTGTCAGGACATTGAGAAGAATGAGTCAGTCTGTAATAGTACGTGTATTTTTTTTTTCTTCAAAAAGAATCAGCCTGCAGGCTAAGGTCAAATTCGGATGAATAAAGAATCATTTTTTGTTTGATTAAGTCCAAAACCTTTCCAGCAAATATTTTAATAGTTCAAAGATGATCATGCTATCAGAAGCCCACCCCCCACGAATTCACTTTTCAAGAAAATTGCTTTTCAAAAAAATTTCTAAGTATTAAAGATTAATAATAATATTAGTAAACCTGATGGTGTTTTGATGAAGTTTTGAGTAATATTGGTTGGAGCAAAATGACATGAAATTAAATATTAAGAATTAAGATATAGTAAGTGATGCAAATTCAGAAGCTAAAAGATAAAGAAAGAAGAAATTCAAAGGAAATAAAAACAACTTTAATGGAAAAATTAACTTTCAAATGAAAATAAAGCACAAACTAGTTAGAATACCTGAAGGTAACAAACTATAATACTACTGTTACAAAGGAAATAAACTGGGGTAAGAAAAAAATTGGAAAAGGGACTAATACTACAAACTTACATTAACTAAAGTGACTAAAACTGCAAAGAAGAACTAAGATATTCTAAGCTCCCACGAAGATTTGTTCATCCAAATTTATTTTCTAAGGAAAAAGAATTTATATAAAGTAGGTATTTATAATTATGACACACCAAGATACCAGAAGTACAAATATGCCCTTACTAGGTAGCCTCTACGGAAAATGAGCCAAACAAAAGTTTTTGTGACAAGATCCCTTTGATTCAAAGAGATAATCCTTGTATGATTCCCTCATGGTATCAAAGTCATGATACAAGATCCTTTGAGCTAAATGTCGGAGTTTTTGTAATTTCTGACTTAACTCCTTATAAATGATTTACCTGAGGAATTCACTTGATTTGGTTACCTTCCGAATGCATCAATACTAGGGAAAACGACAAGTCCAGAGGTGAAATGTTCTCTTTGAAAAATATTCTTTTGATAATAAACACTAGAAAATAATTTTCTCGTGAATAATAGAAATATTTTTTTGAAAACAACTTCAATCATACCAGCATGCTGCTGAATAATTCTATTAATCCATTCCTATGTTAAAAACTATGTCACTATTGAACTATATATTGCCATACTCTTCCTTCTCCCTTTCTTGCCATTAAACTATTGCATAAACATTCAATAAGTGGTATGATGATAGGTCATCTTATGTTTTAGAACCAAATTTTGTGTTTCGAAGCCTTAAGAACCTTATTTTAATCTTTCACGATTTGCGTGCAAAGTCCGGATGCTAATCTGGAAGGCTTATATATTAAAAACTGATAAAAATAAGAATTTAAAAATTCATTTGAGTTGACTTTGGTCAATATTTTGAGCAAACGAACCCGGATTCGTATTTTGACTGTCCCGGTGGGTTCGATTGTAATTTGGGACCTGGGCGTATACCCGAAATCGAATTCGGAGGTCCCTAGCTCGAGTTACTAATTTTTATTGAAAATTAAAAGTTTGAAAGTTTAATGATTTTTAAGAATTGAATAATATTTGGTCTTGTTGATATCAGATCCGTATTTTGGTTTTAGAGCCCGATACAGGTCTATTATAATATTTATGACTTGTCTGTGAAATTTGGTGCGAAATGGAGTTAGTTTGACGTGATTCAGATGTTCGGTTGTGAAAATAGAAGTTTTAAAGTTTTCTTGAAAATTTCATTTGATTTGGTGTTCAATTTGTAGTTCTAGGTGTTATTTTGACGATTTAATAGTGCGAGCAAGTTCGTATGATATTTTAGGACTTGTGTGCATTTTTGGTTTGGAGCCCCTAGGGCTCAGGTTTTTTTTTAGATAGACCACAGAGTGGTTTGAACTTAGAAAATCATAGCTGGTGTATCAGATTTGCAGACTTCGCATTTGCGAGGTCTGGCTCGCAAATGCGAGCCTCTCATTTGCAAAGAGACCGTCGCATTTGCGAGCAGTGGGCTGGGGGGTGGACCTTCGCATTTGCAAAATTTTGGGTCGCATTTGCGATTCTCACAGTCCGCATTTGCGAACACTGGTTCACATTTGTGAAGGCAGCAGACATAGGTCACTCTTCGCATTTGCGAAGATTTGGTCGCATTTGCGGGTTCGCATTTGTGCACCCCAGGTCGCAAATGTGATACCTGCAACTGACCAAATAGCTAGAAAACGGAATTTTCACTCATTCTTCAAATTTTCAATACAAAAAACTCTAGAGACGATTTTCCAAGACTCTTTCTTTCCCAATTCATTGGTAAATGATTCTAACCCATTTTCTTTCACTACTTTTCCTAAGATTTTAACCTAAAATCTTGTGATTTCATGGTGGAAATTGGGGGTTTGGATAGAATTAGGGATTTTTGAAAATTGGGGATTTAGACCTCAAATTGGGGTCAGATTTCGAAACTAAGTACATAATCGGGATTTGGGGGTAAATGAGTAAATGGATTTTGATCCGAACTTCGGGTATTGACCAACCGGGTCTGGGATCAATTTTTGACTTTTTGGGGGAAAGTTTGGGAATTCTAAATTTATGCATTTTAATTGATTCCTTTAGCAATATTTGATATTATTGAGTCAGTTGTGGTTAGATACGAGTGGTTTGGACGCGGATTCTAAGGGAAAGGCCCCGGTAGAGCTTTGAATTGACTATGAAGTGAGGTAAGTGTCGTGGTTAACTTTGATTTGAGGGAATTAGGAACCCTCAGACTATGTGCTATGTGAATTTCATGTGAGCGGCGTATATGCGAGGTGATGAGTGCTTATATGCCGCCGAATTATCTGTTTTTCTTGATTTTCCGCTTCTCCGTAATTGTCTCTTTCACTGTCTTAACTGTTATATGCTCTAAATGCTTTCCATGCTTAACTGCTACCTGTTAATCAATGTCTTCTCCTGATAATGATGTTAGACCATCTCATAGTTTCATGATTTCCTGCTATTTGACTAAATTGACTTACTAGCACTTTTTAATTGTCAATTACTGAATTGGTCTCGATGAGTAGTATCACTTATGGAGATTCCTGTGTTGTACAAGGTTTTCCTTTCTGGTTCAGTTTAGTATTTATTGATCGTAAAGGTTTCGCAGTTTGAATTGTTAATTTGACTGTGAACATTGAATATCTGTACTGATATGGTGGGATCGGGTTGTACACCGCAATAGGTGGAATAAGGGAAATGCCCCGGTAGAGCTTTGAATTGACTATGAAGTGAGGTAAGTGTCGTGGTTAACTTTGACTTGAGGGAATTAGGAACCCTCAGACTATGTGCTATGTGAATTTCATGTGAGCGGCGTATATGCGAGGTGATGAGTGCTTATATGCCGCCGAATTATCTGTTTCACTTGATTTTCCGCTTCTCCGTAATTGTCTCTTTCACTGTCTTAACTGTTATATGCTCTAAATGCTTTCCATGCTTAACTGCTACCTGTTAATCAATGTCTTCTCCTGATAATGATGTTAGACCATCTCATAGTTTCATGATTTCCTGCTATTTGACTAAATTGACTTACTAGCACTTTTTAATTGTCAATTACTGAATTGGTCTCGCTGAGTAGTATCACTTATGGAGATTCCTGTGTTGTACAAGGTTTTCCTTTCTGGTTCAGTTTAGTATTTATTGATCGTAAAGGTTTCGCAGTTTGAATTGTTAATTTGACTGTGAACATTGAATATCTGTACTGATATGGTGGGATCGGGTTGTACACCGCAATAGGTGGAATAAGGGTGGAATGATATAGTGAAATAAGGATAAACTTGTATTGATGCGGTGGGATCGAGTTGCACGCTGCAATAAATGGAATAAGGGTATATTGATATGGTGAAATAAGGGTGGATTGATATGGTGAAATAAGGGTAGATTATGATACTGATGTTGATATATGGTAGGATTGGGTTGTGCGCCGCAACAACCTATGTGTTTCCATTTCTTGAGTTGTGTTTGATTTTCGGTATTCTCATTTTAAATGCCGAAGATTGGTAGTTTTGGATGACACTGATTTATTTCTTGAAGCCGTAGTTACTATTTTCAGTTGACCGTTTTATCCTGTTCCGTATTTTTACTTTCTGTCATTATTATTTACTTCGTACAGATTGTAGTGTGATTGACCCGTCTTAGCCTCGTTACTACTTCATCGAGATTAGGCTCAACACTTACAGAGTACATAGGGTTGGTTGTACTCATACTACACTTTGCACTTCTTGTGTAGATTTTGGAGTCGGTCCCAGCAGCGGTTATTAGCGTGCTCGAATTAGACAGTTGCGGAGACTTGACGTACGACTACTCGGCGCCCGCAGCTCCTGGAGTCCCCTTCCCCTTTCTATTTAGTTGTGTACTTTCATTAAGACAGCTTTGTATTTCTTTCAAACCCTTGTATGTATTACTCTGGTAGCTCGTGCACTTATGACACCGGGTTCAGGGATTTGTAGCGACGTTTGGCAGTTTTAGCTTTCGCATTTAAAACTTATTTTATTTCAGCTATTTCTCATTAGTTAACTCAACTATTTTTAAAAAAAGGATAATATATTCTAACATTGGCTTGCCTAGCAAGTGAAATGTTAGGCACCATCATGGTCACGACGGTAAGAATTCCAGGTCGTGACATATGATATTCTATAAGGTAGAAATCGGGGCTACCCGATTTCGTGGGCTCGAGGGTCACTTCAAGAGCGAGATCGAAAAAGGCCAGGCGCGAGTCT